ACTTATATATATATATATATATATATATATATGTATATATATATATATATATATATATATATATATATATATAATTCGTTCGCATTTCCCTCCTGAGCACTTATATATATATATATATATATATATATATATATATATATATATATATATATATATATATATATATATATATATATATATTATTTTTAGTTTTTTTTTTTAATTTCTCATTTTTAATTTCATTGTTCAAAAGTAAGGGATAGAAAGTATAATGAGTTTTATGATCACTAAACGATTTGAATCCAATAATTTGATAACAAAAGTAAACAAACAAACATGATAATAGATATCAAATCAGATAATATGGTACAAAATTTACCAATCAAACACCAAACGCCACCCTAGTTTCTATCACAACAATGAAATTTTTAAAAATTAAAAAAAAAAATTACGAGTAAGTGGATGGGGCATGATTCTCGTACATAAAAGTCACAAGTTCAATTTTTTGCAATACTATTACACAAGAGCAAGATTTTTTATTATACACCATCAAATAGTGACTACAATTTTTGTTAATAAAAAAAATTTAAATAAATAAATAAAGATGAAAGACTAACTTCCACGTTTTGTGTCCACTTGTTAAATTGGTATTAATTAATTGGCATTATTTCATTTCTTGTCAAGAATCATAAACCAACCCAGACAAGGTTGTTTATTTTCTTGTAAGCTATCCAATTGGGGATCAATAATAGGACAATTTCACTTTCCTCTAATAGCACTTTTATAGAAATGCACATTTTTAGCAATGATTTCCTGTCAAAGCCCATGGGTGTCATGTGGAAAGTAAGTTTAATATGAAATTAATCATTTCTTTTGGCATTTTGCTCATATACATCAAATCTAACCTAATATTTTTTATAAAGCCGCCAATGAAACTACTATCATCTATATCTTTATATAAATGAGTAGGGCAAAATTAAAGTAAGTTAAAATCATCAAAATTATTCCTGGCAAATTATGAAACACCATTAGTTAGACAAAATAGTATGAATACAATTTAGATCAACGGCTCAAAAAAAAAAAAAAAAAAAAAAAAAAAAACGCGTGCCTGGAACATAGAAGTATAAGCTAAGGTACACCTTAAGTGTTAGTTCTTAATCACAAACTCACGCATTTTAAGTACAAAACCCAAACACATTAAGCACAACCTCACGCACATTAAGCACAAAACCCACGCACTTTAAATATTAACTTACAGACTTTAAGTTTCAATAACTACTGACATTAAGTACAAAACTCACGCACATTAAGTACAAAACCCACGCATACATTAAGCACAAACATCACGCACATTAAGCACAAAACTCACGCACTTTAAGTATTCACTCACAGACTTTAAGTTTTAACAACTATTCACGTTAAACACATCCCCACGCACATTAAGCACAAACCTCACGCACATTAAGCACAAAACACACACACATTAAGCACAAAACTCACGCACATTAATCACAGATCCGCTCACCTTAATTTTGACCTAGATGCAAAAATTACAAAATTGCCACCGCGTTTTTTTTTAAACTTTAATAATCCTGGACGTTGATTAAAGCGAGATGAATGGCTCAGGTTAAACCGCACAACCGCACCTGAAGCCCTCACCCGCATGAGAACCTAAATCTATATATATATATATATATATATATATATATATATATATATATATATATATATTTATTTATTTATTTATTTATTTATTTATTTATTTATTTAGATATGTTAAGTATATACATATTGATATGTATCTAAGTTCTATTTTATACACTTGGTACAAGAATGGATCAAGGTTTCTCTACACTTCACCAAAGGATGTCAAGTGTTGAATCCAAATTTGGAATTAAGGTTTCTTCATAGACCCATCAGGGGTAAGGCCTGAGATTTGGATCAAGTTACCATTTTTGGTTCAGCAATGTGTTGCTAATTTTTTGTGTATTTTATGTGAAAAATATATGTTTTGAATTATTTATTTGTTTTTGGGAAAACCTATCAATACTCATGGTTTTTTAAAAATAAAAAATAAAAAATAAAAATTACATATTCATGTTTTGGAAAACCATTATTTTGAAAATGAGTTTTTATTTCATGTTTTATAAATCTATTTTTGACAAAAATACATGAGTATATTAGAATTAATAAGTCACATGCATCAATAATATATATATGACAACAATGATCCTACTAACCTCCAACCATAGTTCTTGTGTTGATGGTGGTTGGATGATCCGAGTTTACACAGTATTTTGTCTTTCACTTCTACTCAACTCTCTCTAGATGGTGCATGAGGTATGTAATGTGAGCAATGAGAAGACTAGTGACATTATATAACCACTAGTATTGTGATTGTATGTCTTTAGGTTTCCTAAACCCTAACCAGACTCCTAACCATAATGATAGTCTAACTATTAGGTTATTAGTGTTGCACCACATCTCAAACACTTAATATTATCATAATGATAAATAGGAAAACGTTACAAAGTATTGTATTAGTTTGGGGTTACAATCGGGAAGGGTATTTTTATAGCGTACGGGCATTATGCATTAAAAAACACTTACTTTATTTTGGAGGGTATTATCATTATAAAAATGTATTTTGGATGATTATGTTAAAAATATATTGTTTTGGGTGGGTGTATGTGAAATATTTTACTTTGGAGGAAATAACTGTAAATATGTACGTATTTTGGATGAATTGTACTTGTGATAGGGGTAGCGGTCCTATCATAAGGAATTGTATCTGGTAGAAGCATTCTGGATACTTGATGTGTGAGATGAGTGTGGTGAGCTCCAACTCTACCTAGGGCTGCAATCCTATTTTGAGAATTGAGATATATACATCTTGGATATTTATGAGTTAAATAACATGGTAGAAAATATTCTGGGTTACTCCGGCTCATTTTCTACTCTTTTGGACTTGATTGGAACCCCACTAGTGCACACTTCAATCGTTATGTCATGGAACCGTGTTCACCATCCATGGAGAACACGGTCCCAAACGATAACGGTGCCCGTAAGTGGCACCGTTATCTTCCACCAATCTTTTTTTTTTTTTTTTTTTTTTTAATTAACAGCGTGACTTTTCTTCTTCATTTTCACATTTCGCGGTTTCACCTCCTCTTCACGCAAGCTTCTTCAACACTCATAAATTATGAATGTATAGGCATGGATTTATGAATGTGCAGATATGAAATTATGAATTTTCTTTTAGAGCAAATTACACTTTTGATCATGTGACTATTAGGGGTGTGTTAATTTGGGTACGTGACTTTTAAAACTAACAATTTAGTCCTTTAACTATCATTTTTTTAGCAGATTTGGTCCTCCTGGCCAAATTGCCGGTGGAATTTGGCCGGAAAGACATTCGAATTTTTAAATCAAATATTAGTGGGGGTAATTCGGTCTTTTTAATTGTAAAAAAATAGCGTTTTATTTAAAAATTCGAACGTCTTTCCGGCCAAATTCCACCGGCAATTTGGCCTGGAGGACCAAATCTGCTAAAAAAATGATAGTTAAAGGACTAAATTGTTAGTTTTAAAAGTCACGTACTCAAATTAACACACCCCCAATAGTCACAGGACCAAAAGTGTAATTTGCTCTTTTCTTTTATGAGATTATGAATTTTCTGTTATAAGATTATGAATTTACAGAAAATTCATAATTACATAACTGTAAATTCATAATCTCATAACAGAAAATTCATAATTTAATAAATGTAAATTCATAATCTGAACATAGAATGCAAAACGCCGTTTACAGCGCATTAACTAAATTTTTTTTTCCCGTAAAAACGACGCCGTTTTGGAAAGTGTTCACAAAGCATGGTGAACACATTTCCACGGCATAATTTGCCCGCACACTTAAGGTAGCGGTCCTGTTTCCATATGTGTTGAAGTGGGGGTTTTGTGAAGTGTCAGTAGAGAGTTACATCAGGGACTTCGCTGCAGTGATGATCCTGCCGCACTAGAGATGAGATTTGGATACCTCTGTATATATATGTGTAATATGTGATATACTTGAAAAATGTTTTGAGAAATATGTTTTAAATTCTTCAATAACTATATTTATTTACATATATATGTACATATATGATTCTTGAGAAAACCTATGTTTCCTTTTAATTGTTTATGTGTTTAGCATTACTACTTGGTTTTGTAAATCCCTCCATATCTAACATTGTTTCGAAATGCCTTGTGTTATGTATGCAACATTCTAGATTTGAACTTTAGTCTTTGTCTTGCAAACTCTTTTGGTTTTGGTATGCGTCACATGTTAAGCCCTTATCCTTTAACTATTTCTATAAATTGTCATTTTTGGTGTTTTGTTGTCTAAAAATATCTCATAAAATCCTTTGAAAATTCCCTATTAAAATCTTTTGTTAACCTTTTCAAAACTTATGATTTTACGAGAACCAAACCCTATTTTTCAAAGTATATTTATTTTCTAAATTAAAAATGTACTTATTTTACGGTGGTGGTTCTTACTTAGCATTTTATGCTAACTGCTTCTTTCCTATGTTTTTCAAACTTAACCTGTGCATGATGAGCGCGTATTTAGAGGCCTTATCCTTCGATATTTTCATCTTGTTAGATTAGTTCTTTTAGATGACCCATTTTGTTATTGTGACTTGATAGATTTGTTAGCTTGAGACTGTTAGACTTAAGGGTGTGAATTTTGTAGTACTTGTTGTGGATAGAAGTCGTCATTAGAGATGAGAAAATTTAGGACTTGGATATCTAATTTGAGAATTTGCTTACAAATAATAATAATAATAATAGTAATAATAATAATAACAATAACAATAACAATAATAATAATAAAGAAGTTAACATGTTAAAAATGTTAATTGCTCTTTTTTCCCGGGATCAGTGGCTTATTTGGAGGCTATTTGAGTTCGGTGACTTAATTGTTGTTTCCTAAATAGTTTAGTGACTTATTTGTACTTTATCCCCACATAAAATGTGGCCGACGAAATAATTTAATAAGTAAAAATTAAATTAAATAAAATCAAAGACAAATACACAGGAAAATGGGCTTCCTTGGTGCCAGTCTGCGAACATAGTAAACAGAATTTACACTAAAAAGCTTAGATCAGAAACAATGTATTGCTATTCCTGCTACCTCAAGAGGCTTCATTTAAGCACCTCTGCTCATAAAACCCTGTGTTAACCATTCCATTGAAATCGTAAAAAAGAAGAAGTGATAAAAGAATCTTGCAAAATTGCTAAAGATTATTCTTGTTCATATGCTGTTGCTATATGGAGTGCTTGATGACCTCTTCCATGTCACTAAGCACCTGAGGAATTCCATGACCTGCAATAATATTCAGAAAACGCGAAAACAAACGAAATGAATTCTTTTTCTTGTTTGCAGAAGGCGTAGTAATGAGTGTAATCAAACGAGAGACGTTAATGTACCTCTGATGGATCCCGAAGAGAGTAAAAAGCGTTGCTTTCCCTGGGCGCGGGGGAAACCAAGATGCCAAAGCCTCGGTTTTGCTTTCTCAACACCTGTAGTGAACCAAAGGGTTACGAGATTAGGACAATTCACGACAAGGAATGGATCAGAGAATTGTTTTGCTTGCTTGCTTGCAGTATATATATACCTTGAATGCATCTTCATCTGTACGGTCATCTCCAACGTATATGGGGAGGACATCCTCACTACCACTCAACCCTGCAATATCGTTTATTAGACCATATGAACTGATTTGAACCTCTTGATACACATATGGTTAGTTTAATCTTTCGTTATCTTACCAAGTGATTCGAGTAAGAACTCAACAGCTTTCCCCTTGTCCCAGTCAAGCACTGGCCGGACTTCTAAAACCTTCAGAAAACGAATACTGTTGCGTTACAAGGAAGATGAGAAACGAGAATAGATGGCTTAAACGCAGAAATGTGTGGGTGGGATATGAAATCTTACCTTTCGACCGTGTTTCAATTGCAGACGAGGGTACTGTTTTAACAGCTCAGTAACCAATTCCCCTACTGTATCCCAACTCTGTAAATAGCACAAGCAACAAAGGTTTTCCATTGATCAAATGTGGGAACACAATCATTATTTCGAGTCCTATTACAAAATTGCACATTACAAAATATACCTTCTCGTCCACATTTCGATAGTGTACAGAAACACAGAATCTGTTGTTCTCAACTTTCGCTCCAGCGATATCTTTTGTAATCTCGACAAGTGATCTAAAAACCTGATGGCAAGAAAAATAGTACATGCTTAATAGAGAAGTCACATGTATGTATTCAATAATTGGGAAAGGCACTTACTCACCTCATCAATCATAGGTAAAAACTCTCTCGCAGGCTGGAACAAGTTAACTTCCTTGCCCTGTGTTCACAATTTTTTTTTTTAATCAATCCATATTAATAAAGTCATGACATACAATGAAATTGAAGATCACGTTTCTCAATCAAGATCAATCTTTACCTGCTTGTCAGTTGCCCTAGTGTACTTAGAGTCATTGGGATCTGACAGAATGGGAGTCATAATATCCATCCCATGACTACCGGCATAATAAAGCTCTGTTAGTCCTACAAAATCGTATACCTACAAAAATGAGAGTATAGAACAATGTATGAAAGTTAGAAAAGAGCCGGAATTCTCTTGTAACATATTTGGTGCAATGTAAAACACAGGCTACCTTATCACGGCTTCTCCCACTAATAATAGCGGTTGGAAAACATTTTGCAGCATTTTTTACAGCAGCACACATCTGGAAATAAGTCGATTGTATCAAAATGAATTCAAAAGTTGGAAAAGGTAAAAAAAATTGTAACTCCTTCAACAAGGTAAACTATTACCGCATTCGACATGAAGGCACGATCTGGATCGTCAACAATTGGTGATAAAGTTCCATCATAATCCAGAAATAAAACTACTCTCTTTCCTATAGCAGACTTTGTTATTTGCTCAAAGGATGTAAGTGCGGAGGGGTACTTGAGCTGTCGAACCAAAAACACCATTAGAAGATTTACATCGCAAATTTGCATATCCAAAAAGATATGATTATGGAAGAGCATTGACATGGAACCGGAAGAATTACCATCCAATTCTGGTAGACAACATCGTTCTCAGTTGATGTTTGATCAGCACCAGAATCTTTATTTCTTCTATTGTGAGTAGGAGAGGATGATTTCATAGCATCCAACCAAGTGTTTGATGTCCTCAAGTCATCAAGTTTCCCGGACTTCTTCCTTGGGAGTGTAAGAAAGAGTGCGGGGGAGAAAGTTGTAGCAGCTGGAGAATACGGCACCAAAGATTTGATGCCTAGCCTCGAGGTGCTTACAGGGGCGGTATCAGCCAGAATGGGTGATGTAAGCTTTGAATTCAAGTCCATTTCAACCAAAACTATCAACACCGAACTTAATTGACCTCAACAAATATTTTTAGCTGATGCAGAGCAGTTCCTCTCTCAAATCTTCACGCTTTTCAGACCACCTTTTATGGGTATCTTTACCACTACTGGAGAAAGCAGTCCAAGCAGAAGACTCCTCGAAACTAATTTAATGATAAGAATTAGATTTTTACAAAAGAAGTAGCCCATCCATATAAGATATACGTTATTTGTATCTGGAAATTCATGAGTAAATCTTACTTACATCTTCTTCCCGTGCTCACAGCAGCTCTTTTAAAACAGAAATCAACTGCATCATGTAAGAAAGAGCTGGTCAGGTGGTCAGATACAATTATTGAATTCCAATTAATTGCTAGAGTTATGTGAACTGTTAAGAGTGACAACTAAAACTTTCAGCAAATAATGTACAGTTGATTAGTTCTTCAAAATAACACCAATAATGGTCTGTAGAATAAGCCTTTGGGCACCTAAAGAAACACAAGAAACCGGAAAACAACAGGAGAGGGATAGGCTGGAGATCCTTTATCTAACATTATATATTATATATAAACTCGATCAAAACCTACTCAAGATGATGCTACTGAACTACCCCTTCATCTAACAAAACTTAAAAGAGAAAATGTAAACTTATAGATCAGATCAGAACTTCTGCAAAACTCTTTAATGGTTTGTTTAAGCAGATAACAAGTGCATCAGTTCTTTGCAAATGTTCAATCAAGTAACCTATATATATATAGAACTGACCAATTTGGGAAAGAAAACTACCAAATTAGATCACTTCAGTTCTGTTGAAAATTTAACCCCATGAAAGGAAAATAACAGTGGTGAAAACTAAAACCAAACACTTCATCATTTCATAATCAGAGCATATCTCTTTGTACCATGAATCAATAAATACTCAATCCATAATAATTGACCAAATCTAGAGAAATGCACAGCAAATTAGCAGTAGATGACAAAGCCATTTGCAGAAAAGAAAAAAAACAAACAAACAATTTACAGACAGTATAATCAGCTATGGCGAATGAATATGATAGTAAACTGTACATGTGAGCCCACAATATGGACCATAGAACTGAAATCCAGCACAGAAAATTTATGGCGGATACTACGCCTATTCTAAAACCCAAAACATTAAATACACGTACCCATCGCATTAACTTCATCAACAGAAGAAGGAAACCAAAATCCAGAACACAAATTAAAAATAAAAAATAAAAAATCTAACAGTGGGAGATAAAAAAAAAAAAAAAAAAAAAAAAAAAAAAAAAAACTGTAGCATTAGAAAAAAACAAAAAAAAAAAAATCAAAAACACAAAGAAATAACAATGGCGGCTCCGCCACGACAATCACGACCGGAATCGACGGGTCACGGAAGAACAAAATCGGATTAAAAAAAACAGACAAGTGGGAACAGTACAAAGAGCAGAAGCTGAAGAGTAAAAGAAAAGGAAGACAGCACACCTTCGATGAAGAAGAAACAGCACCCGACCCTAGAAGAAGGAGCTTGCAATATGGAAATGGAAAATGTATATATGCACGCGTGTGTGTATCTGTCTGTGTATATATATATATATATATACACAGTGCAGAATATTTGGTAGGTATATATTGGAACGCGGAAAGGGAAGAAAGAAGGGAGCGAAAGCATTGGAGAGAGGTGGCCATTTATAATAGTAATGGAGGCTGAGAGAGCTATGCGACGAAACCAGCTTGGTTGGCACAAGTGGCTATATAAAATTAAGAATTTGGACTTTTCTACTATGAACAAATTAATCTGATTAATCTAAATATATATAGTATGGATTTGACTGTATAGACAGCTCAATGTTAGTTATAGAAGTGAAGTTTAGGAAGAATGTCCAAGAATAGAGTCTCACCGGTGGGAGTGTCGGAGCAATTTTTCAAAGTGGGACCAACAGTGGCAGGGTTGGAGTAATTTCTCAAAGTGAGGGACAGTGTAAGAATAATCTCTCAAAGTAAGGGGTTCTTTGTGTACACAGTAAACAAAAGTCTAGCCTTTATAGTTTAGCTGAGTTACCACTCTATCGAGTCGGGTGTGGAGGACCATTAAAATTAAAGAGAATATATAGTACGAACTTAAATGTTTTCTATAATTAGGGTCTACTCAAGATATCTTGTGATTTAACGTAAAAAATAATACTTCTATCTATAATAATAAATGGGAGGGTGAGAGGGAAGTCAGTCAGGGTCAGGGAAGAGAAGCTTCGATTGCCAATTTCTGACCTTTCGCCACGAAGCTGACGTGGATCCAAGCAATGCCTATGTAGAAAGTTGGAGTATAATAATATCGTTGCAGTTCACACATATCTTACGTGCGCACCGCTGACGATAGTTGTGCGTGCCCTGTTTGTTATAGCAGTTGGAAATAAGAGTATCCTCGTTCGTGAAACGGATCAGATTACTTTCATAGATATGACTTTGTATATGTTTTTTCATAATTATTACAAATTTTTCATAAGTAATATTTTAAAGTCTAATATTAAATTTTAATTTTAAAATGTTACATTTTTTACATTTTTTCTCATAACTAATAATCAATAAATTTATCTATAATAAATAATTATAATACTTTTAAAGAAAAATATAATATTTAGGAATGAGTACATGACCCTTATGTGATATCATCTCAAGGATCCTTGTCCGTGAGACCGTCTCAAGGATCCTTGTCCATGAGACGGGTCGATCAATATAGAAATGTAATACTTATTGTAAATATTACATTTTCATATTGTTTGATCTGCCTCACGGAAAATAATCAATGAGAGGGTCTCATAGAAATTTTTGTCTTTAGAGATTGAACAATTACTTTTGAAAAAAGTGTAATACTCAATTAATTTCCCTTATAATTAATAAACAATTTATTCTTTATTAGTATTATATTTTTCAACATAAGAATTATGTTTTCATATTGACACGACCTATCTGACATAAAACTCACCCAAAATTTAATTATTTGTTAAATACTCATGTGATCTATAAATTATCATGGGAATTATTATTGTCATTGAGATTTTGCATGATCTTTTATCTAATAAATATATTCTTCACAAAAGTTAAAAGTTTTTTTTTTGGATACTACTAATTCTATTACAATGTAGTATTAAACACAAAGAGTCAATAACATCTCCACTACCTCCCATATGACCACAAGGTCTCAGCACTTGAAGTTTATTATACATATTCACTTTAACGGGAACAATTTAAATAATAATAATAAAAAGTACGGAAAATTTTATATAATTTTTTTAAGTTTGTGTTTTTTTAAGGGGAACAATTTAAATAATGTTACGTGGACAGCATATTTTCACTAATTTTTTTACCGACTAATGCGAATTTTATATATTTAATTCATGCATTGACATCATTGTGAACTGTGAAATAGCCTACTTAAAACTAATCAATATATATGATACAAGTGTAATAACGCATTTTCACCCATATTATAAAATAAATTATTGATAAAATAAATTTTTTTTGAAAAGGAGAACTCAATTCATTAAATTATAATCAAGAAACGGTATCAAATAGTCTGATAGTACATCAAACCACTCCCCTGAACCTGTCATAGAAACGGCTTCCCTTGTAAACGACATTCTTAATTATTTAACTTAATTCTCTATGTTGACTTGAAAACAAAAAAGTTGTAAATTTGACTCTCTATGTGGAGTTGTTATTACTCTATTAGTTTTCTTGATTGAGTTAATCACTCATAAACAATATAGGCTAGTTTTCTTTACTAGTTAGAAATCTTAGAATAACAAAATATGTTTCATGCGGTGCCTACTTTCAAATAATGACGGTATATATTTGAGTGTTATTTAGGCTATGTTTGGAAATTCGAAAAATAATGTTTAGAAATCATTTTCTAAAATTCCCGTGTTTGGATGCAATTAAAAATTCAGTCAACAGAAAATGTTTTCCGTTGACTGAAAAAAACCTAGTTATTTTGGCGAAAAATGACTTCTGTCAAAATTTAACAGAAGTCATTTTTCGCCACACTCAGAACAAGTTTTTTTTTAAAAAAAATTTTGATAAATAATATTATTTTTAATATTATTATAAATATTTTTATATTCTAAACAAAATATTTAAAATGCTTAATTATACAATTTTACTCATTTTCTAAAAACTAAACTAAACACATAAAGACAGTTTTCTGCTGTATACACAAAAAAAAAATTATAAAAAATAACTCATTTTTAAAAAATATTTTTCAAAAATTATTTTTCTGCTTTTCAAACCAACCTTATTGAAGCAATTTATAGCAGAGAAGAGGTAACTCATAGGAAAATGCCTAAAACCTTGACTAGCGCAGTTGAATGTGGAATCCGATGAATTTTTCCAAGTCTTACCCCGCGGTTTGACCATCATTTCTAATTCTTCCCACCCAGTCAGCCACTCTGACCACTTCAATAATTATATTTTTCTATCTCTTACTTTTGTAAATTTGAAAGTAACAATTTTATATTAAGTACTCCAGAAGTTGGTTTAAAAAAGAAGTACACTATAATTTAATGAAATATATGTAAAATTGTCTCAAGAATCTTTGTTTGTAAAATAGGTTGGATTGTAGGTAACTGGGTATGTAAATAATTACAATATTTATTATTAGTAACAATTAATTTTACTTTAAATAGTATCATAATTTCACATATAAGTATTACAATATCTATAACAATAAGTAATGCTTTATTTTTAATTCAAATTGATGTTAAATTTTCTACAATAAGTATTACAATTTCTTTCAAAAGTAACATTTCACATATAAGTAATACAATATTTACATTAGAATTATATTTTGTAAGTATCACAATTTCAATTATAAGTATTACAATATTTATCATTATTAATAATCATCTTACCTTAAACAGTATCACAATTTCATTAGAACTACACAATATTTATCATTAGTAAGAATCATTTTACAATAGAATTACACTTTGTAGCATGCACGGGTTCAGTTGGTAGTACTTGGGGGAAGAGACTAAGGTTCAAATATCGGCAGTGGCAGTGTCCCCCAGAATTTGGCACTGTCTGCTAAGTCACCATGATTTACATCTTTCTAAATGCTCTGTCAGGCAGGGAGGCTTGGGGTGGGGGATTCAACCTTTTGGGAGAAGTATAACTGATTCGAGTACACTTTACAGATTTTGAGTATATGTTATGACATATTATCAAATGTACTCTAAAACGTACATAGTATACATTCAAAATTTGCAATAATTATAAATTTTTTATTGTACTTTTTCGTTAATTCATGATCATCGACCATCTCAAATCAATAACTAGCTAGCTAGTATTAGTCCATATTTACTAGAAGATATATTATTTCTCTTTGAATCTACCCCTCCCCTCACACACCCATATATAACCCACCGACTTGGATTATTGCTTTTATGCAATGCGCCACCCCAAGGTCGACATCATTTTCTAATAATGCCTAAATCAGTGGGTATATTGCTTGGTTTTGTTTTGTGTAGCAGCTTTCTTATTTGTGTACAAAGAAAAAAAAAATGTGAAAAAAGTTAAAAGAGTAATCTAAAAAGATAAGAGATTGGATAATTCATGAGAATTTAGATGATATAATGTTAGCTAGTGTTTTTTAAATAATTAAAGATTCAATTAGTTTTAATGTATAGTCTTAGTTGATTGGTCGACAAAATCTATAGTTAAAAAAAAAAAAAAGGGTAAGTTGAAAAACGGGCAGGGTGAGAATTATGTCTAAAGTAGGCTAATTCTTTGTACACATCAATATTTGGTATTGTCTCTTAAGCCATTGAGTTATCGTGACGGAGATCAACATTTTGAGAGAAGACGAATTACAGTTTGTATATACTCCATATGAGTCCATGTGAACGTACGGTTGTATTTCTTTTGGTACAAGTTAAGGTATTTTTTATAAATAAAAAAATTATTGTGTCAAGAAGCTAATAAATATATAAGTCAATATGAAATAAATTTAAAAAAATAAAAAATGAAGCAGTTGGGTTTAAATCCACACGTGAATCATGCCTTTCACCCACTTTTTTAGTGACAATAATTACAACTAAACTAGTTTTCTTTGTTGTTGTCTGACATATGGACCCGTATCTTAATGGTTTCTTGTGCATTTTTAGAGCTTTGTGGAAACATACGAAAGTAATTAGATTTAGAAAATTAACTTAATTAGTATTCTCACCGACTCACCGCCCCCATAATGATTATTCTTACTTTTATTTTTTTCCGTTCTAGAATAATTCTTTCTCAATTTGAACAACACTAGCTAATTTTCCTTTTTCTTTTTTCAACTTAACCTTTTGTGTGTGTGTGTTTTTTTTTTTTTTTAAATTTACTACAGATTTTATCAACCAATCAACTAAGACAATACATTAAAACTAATTGGATCTTTGATTATTATTTTAAAAAACACTAACATTATATCATCCAAATTCTCATGAATTATCCAATCTCTTATCTTTTTAGATTACTCTTTTAACTTTTTTCGTATATATTTATTTTTTTCTTTGTACACAAATAAGAGAGAAGCTGCTACTGTGCTACACAAAACAAAACCAAGCAATACCCACAGATTTAGCCATTAGAAACTGATGTAGACTTGCCCGCACTGGTTTAGCTTAATGGTTTAGT